AAAAGAAAGAAATGGCTCCGTTTTATAGATAATGATTTTTTTTTCTTGATACCAAGGGTCACACTTTGCTCGGCAGGATTACGAGCACGGCGAGAGTGGTGAATGTAAAGAGAGCGACAGGAGAACGCATGCGGGAATGGAATGGCATAAATGTTCTTAGAGACTATGCGTCAATTCGCGATGGACACACGTACACGACGCAAAAGGGAGTCTCTTTATCTGAATTTCAAGCCTATCCTTTGCTTCAACGTCATTGCATAGTTGGGGCGTATTCGGTATATATGGCCTGTTAAAGAACAGGCCATGTTCAGGAGAGAAGGGATGCTCTACTTATCAAAGGCTTGTACATTGTTATGAACTGGAATGATTTCTAGGGCTTTCAATACACATTTATTGATGGCCATTTGGCTGACCAATGAATTCAAAGAAGACATAAGTACTTGTAGAGCTGTCTATTGTGATGAGTGAACTATGACTGATTTGTTGAAGATGGTATTATGGTCCTGTGTGTAGTATATGTATTATCTCGATGTTTTCATAGATTTTTTGTTTTTATTTGTGGAGGATGAATGCTATATAGCACTCGCTTTATCCATGATACCTTCTACAGCAAATGGTATAATGTCTCAAGTATGTCAAAAGTGTTTAAGCTATATCAAAGCCTGTGTGTCGTAAAATCAGTCGTATCCATCTAGAGTCACACAGGAGAGAAGAAGTTAAAACGTTGTTTCTTTGTGAGAGATGTGATTCTATTATAGGTAATGATACACCATGATATATTGTGATCGCTATACCCGCCCCAAGTCTAATTAACTCTCCATTCCCCTTCGCCCAAGGTACTATTAACCTCCCTTGTAACCCGATGCCGATGCTTGCAAGCCATCTAGCCTGACTGTCATAAAAAAACATGAAATGGGGGAATCTTGCCCTTTCCCCGTGCACTTTGGGTGCGCTACCAAAACAAAAGAGATGTGTGTAAACTGATGCATTAATTAAAGTATTCGTGTTGAAACTTGCTCCCCTTAAACTATGATTCATTCCAAATCATTTCTTTTTATCTTTCTCGTAGAATCTCCACTCCATGAACCGAGTCTTTAGTTCTTCTCTTCCTGAGTAGCAGGCTCCCCAGTCTTTGGCTCATCCGACTCAGCAAACTTGCTAAGCGTTCGGAGTCTGCCGCCATAGTAGTACAGCAGCCAAATACCAATGATGCCAATGACACTCAGGCCACCGAGAAGACTCGTGCCCCTCGCAACGCCAAGGTTGCCAAACAGCGGGTGCGCAAACAAGACGCTGCCGCAGGCAAGGGCGCTGCGGAAGAAGTCGTTTGCGGCGAACAGACTGGCGGCGTACCGCGGATAACTGAGCGGGACGTAGATGAAGACGGCCTGCATGACAACGAAGACGGTGGCGCCGTAGATTGTGATGCCGATGGTGGGCACGATCCAGTGGATGGAGGCGCGGGCCGTCCAGGCGAAGAGGAAGAGGCCGATGGTGGGGCCGATGGAGGCCGGTAAGGCGGGGATGAGACGCTCTTCCTGGACAGGCCAGCCGTATTTCTCGATGCGGGGGTTCTGCCAGAAGTAGAGGTAGGCGGAGTAGACGACGATGCCGATGATGCAGGAGACGAGGATGCAGAGGAAGACGAGGCCGACTTGGCCGAGGTTCATGCCGTAGAAGACGGGATAGACGAGGGGGAAGACCTCGAAGACTGTTTTGATGAGTTAGTTACTTGATTTGAGATTGTGAAAAGGGCCGAAGATGATGACTTACATGAATAGTAGATGCCGTAGATGATGGCAGTGTACACCTGAACGAACAAAACGGCAGGATCCTTCATGGTGATCTCGAGAGGCTTGATCAGAGCATCCCAGAAAATGTCGCGGTAGCGGAGGTTGTGCTGGTCAATCTCGCTCTGAGACATGAAGCGCTTGTTGCCAGTCAGCTTGCGCAGGCGGCGGGCGCGGCGGAGGAGGATGTTTGCGCTGCTGGTCTCGGGGAGGAGCAGGAACATGGCGATGAAGACGGGGGCAGAGGCCCAGATGGAGATGAAGAGGGACCATCGCCAGCCCTCGACGGGGACGGCGAAACCGCTAAGAAGAGGGCCCAGAGCAGCTGAGATGGAAAATGTTAGCCATTAGAAAGATACAATGGGGGGGTTGGTTCAATTTGACTTACGTCCACAGTATGCGGCAGCGACCCAGGACATCATGGCAAAAGGCAAAGCCATCAAGCTGTACATGTCACCGAGAGAAGCACCTCCAGACGCCAAACACGGCGATCCAAAGAAGCCCTGCAGGAAACGCAGGACCATCAGGCCGGGGTAGTTTGGCGCAAAGGCCGTCGGGATAGAGATGATGACGAACATGAACATTGTGGCAATGTACACGGGGTTTCGTCCGATCAGGGGGATCTCAGATAAGGGAGAAAATATCAGAGGGCCGATGCCGTAGCCCAGCACGTAGATGGACAGGCCGAGGGTGGCCTTGATCTCACTGACGCCGAAGCGCTGCATGATGCCGCCCTCGGAGGTGGTGTAGATGGCGGAGGTTGTGTACACGACAAAGGTGTAGAGGCAGATGAGGACGTTGATGAGGAGGCGCTTATTGCGAGACCAGTTGTAGGGGTTTTCAGGGTCGTCTGTGTAGTACCAGTCGACGAGGATGGCGCCGTCCTTTGTTGTCTGAGGCACAATCGGTATGCTCTTGACCTTTTCCAGATCGTGCTCCACATCCTCATCGTGTCTCTGGCGTGTCATGTCGTCCCATTCCGAGCGTTGAGCGTGCTCATGCGAAACCGACTGCTGCGCTGAAGACCGCCGTCTTCCTGAGTCGGTCGCCTGCTCCTCATCCTTCGGTGCCCGAGACGGCTGTGGAGATTGACCCCGGGCAGTGCTTCCGTGGGACCCATTGGATGGAGTCCGCAGGATGCCGCCCGTCTCCTTGTCCTCGGCGGCGGTGGAGGCATCTGATGTTGAAGTGTTTGCTGATGTGATGGGGACGCCGTTCATGAGCTGGACCCATGGCTCGGGGAGTTTGAAGTCGTCCTTTTCTTCGGGGTATTTCAGATAGCGCTTGCCAGAAACCCAGCGGATGACTTGGCCGATGGCGGCGTCACGGATGATGTCCGCCATGGTCTGCGGTGGCTTGAATGCCTTGAGGCGTTGCTAGATTTCAAATAAGGCTTATATGTGTACTAGTCGAGTTGTGGTCGAGTTGCTGAAGCAGCGTTGTTTCTTATACAAGTTGTCGATATATATCGAAAGCAAAAGCCTATATCAATAGCAAGACCCAATGGAGTTTATGACGTCTGTGGTGTTGAGTCTAATGTGGGTATATAAGTCTCAACTGCTGTTCAACAAAACGGCAGACAGTTGAAAACAATTGGGGTAAATGCTCGAATATGAAGCTTTTTCTTACTCCGCGGAATGGGAAACTAGGTTTCTGATATGGTCTTATAATTTCCAGATTCTCGGGAAGCAAAGGGCCACAAAGGTTCATCTTATACCCCCCCGGGCTGGCAACTCCTAACTCCATGTTTGCGTATTCCCACACTCGGAGGAGTCAAAGCAAAGGTAAAAAAGGCGGGCTCCACTCTAGCTGTCGTTGATCGGTAATCCAATCGACCGCACACCTTTGACGAACGCTACTGGCAAGATCTAGATGGATTCGTATAGCTTCCATCTAGTTTGGCCGCTGGCCCCATCCTGCTCCGTCAGCCTGGAAGTAGACGAAAACGGGGTCCTGTGCAGTTACGTACCTAAATGACATGCAGATCCGCTTATTCACATCGATTTCCTTTCGCTTAAAAAACAGAAGAATAGGAAACACTACCCTGGTCTGGGCATCAGATACCCCGGTCGGCATGTGGGCGTTTACAAAGCATCTCATGGCAGCATCCTCATGGCAGCATCATAGAGGCAGGCTAGCGACTCGGCCGGATTGATGGCGTCCATCTTTGTTACAAACACGCTCCCCGTTCGCTCTTCTTTCGAACGCCGGATTTTAGTGAATTAAGCTTACAAAAGCCGGCACTCGTTCGGACTCCGGGTACCCATCGAGGCTGAGGCTGCGTGCAGAATTTGCTTGGGACACGGCTTGGAGGGTGCACGGAAGCCAATGGCATCACCTACGAGATAGGCTATTGCCTATGTCCATTCGAGCCTTCGGACTTATTCTCTGCTGCCTGTAGCGTCCAAGACATTTGGGAAAAAAAGAAAATCCTATGGAGTCAAGGGAGGTTGATTGGCCGAATGCAAAGACTAACAACTACCGGCTTCAGCTTAAAGGAAGATACCAGAAGAACTAGTGCGTGAAGAGGAATTAGACCCTGAGCAAAGGAGGAAGTTCCTTTTTTTTTTTTCCCTCCATGGGCAGCCAAGGGCTTACCAACCAATATCTTATTTTCCCAGCGAGATATCAGCTAGCGGGCCCGTTGCCGAAAAAAAGAGGGTGGGCTAAATGAGGTGCTGCTGTATTGCTAAGGATGTAGTTTAGTCTCCGCTTTAGGTGCGTGCAAACCTTAGCAGTAAGAGGCATCAATATCGTGAAGCTTTGCTCTGATTAGTCGTTGGGCCGTGCTAAATAAGGCTTGGCTCCAAGGATTCGCAAGCCTCACTGCGACTCTGTTTTTTTTCTGTGGTCCCGCAAGTGCCGTTGACAAGATTCCTTGGGGCCAGATTTGCGCCGGGCAAGACGAGATGCAGGATGACGTCGAGCACGGTCTCGAACTGAGGACCCTTGCCGTGCCCTGTTGATAGTGAGGGTTACGTTCGAGATTAGGCTTGAGATTCGCGAGATTCGCAGTGTCTCACTTACAAATGGCCCCTCCGCGGTGTTTTGGTGTTTTGCTTCCTAATTCCAGGTCAGCAGAAAAGTCTGACCGTCTTAATTCCGTCGATTTGACGCAAAGTCAGGCTTCCAAAACGCTTCTCCATAGTCCGTCAAAACTCTGATCGTCGTACGTCGTATTTGCCCGTCCAAGCTCGGCCATTCAGCTCGTTAATTTGCCCGAATGGGAATGCGCTCGGCATACGTTAAGCGAGCGTCATCCTGTCCAAGCCATCGTTCTTTTCTTCTTTTCAACCGCTCTTCTTGCGCGTCTCCTCGTCGTGGCGAGCAGGCGCCGCGCGCAGCAAAAGTCAAATCGCTAGGCATGTGGGATAAGAAGACAAAAGCGTGCTCTCCGCTATCCTGCCACGAGCAGCCAATGACGGCGCTATCAGATCCAGCCAACACGCGTGGTCCCTTGCTTCTGTCCAATCGGGATGGCTGCTGGCAAGCCCAGTCAGCAGCCACCGACTCATTAATAATGCCTTCAGCCATCACCCACAATTTGTCAACGCCACTGCCATATCTTGCTCTGTCAGTCTTGTTGGCGCGCAATCCCATGGCTAGCTGGCGCAAGCAACGGCCTGTATCGAAGGAATTGATTAATATCCTGTAAACTCGGGGAACCCAAGCCACGTTCTTCACCTTGCCGTGCTGGGTTGTCCGTGACTCAACTCGGACTGACTATAGGCCGTCTTTTGTCATCCTCTGCCTTGTGGGGTTGTCCTTTGCACTTCACGCATCTTAGCATGCATCGTAGCTTTGTTGAGTCTAATCACAGGTCCATAGCGCTGATACCCGTTCCGCCCGATTTTCCCGGCAATCAACGTGCCAGCGGTGCTGGATTGGCGGACTCGTTTTTGATACCCGTCTACCGGTCCTTCAGCCTTCTTGGCGGGGCACAAGTAACCCAACGACGACGTCGCCCGTTTGGAATCACTGCGACTGTGACCTCGTAATTGCGCCGTATGCACTTTTGAAGCTATGGAGCATAGATTATGAGTGGTACGGATAGGAAGCTGCTTAGCCTGGTATGCAGTTGAACTAGAGCATGTTTTTGACTCAGCGGGAGGCTTTCGGAGCTGCTAGTGAGGTTCCGGCATATCTAGTCTCGCTGTTTTTTTGATTGTTTCTTATAAATGACTCTCCTTTCTCCGGTCGGAATTATATGTGAGCTGTGCTCGATTGCTTGCTAATGACTCCCTAGGAGAAATTATAGACTAAAATCATGTCGGCAAACTTTGCCGTTGCTATGAATGTCTGAAGGTGGGACCGTTTTGCCCAAGTTCTTCTGTTAATTAACTTGGCCCGTCTCTGCAGACCCCCTATTTTCATTCTATAATTTTTGATTATTAAAGCTTTATATCGTTTCCATTTCAGGGAACTGCAGTTGTAGAGTTTCTTGTCTTCCACTGTGAGGCTAGCTTTGAAATTCTCTTTTGCTGTAGAATCCTGCGCACCATCTTCGTCATATCCTCGTCCCCTGAGCTGAGGAGTGAGTCGACGACAGGCCAAACCCGACTGTCTTCTCTTGTGATTGCCTGCTCGACGAGGACACTAATCCATTTGGAAGATCGACTCTTTGTGATACCGGCCTCCATGGCTTGTTTAGTAAATCGAAACGCTAGGTCCATCTCACCCGCTTCTGCACACTTCGCAATCAGAAGGTTGTATGTCGAAATATTCCGAATTGGGTCTTGGTTCTCTGCGATTTGATCCTTGTATTCCTTTGCCAGAAGTTTTGCGGTGGCCTCCTCAGCGCTATGGATGATAAGGTCCTGCGCCATGGTTGCGTTGAGCGATTCCGCGCCGCAGAGCGTTGGCAGGTCCCGGTATAATCGCAAAGCCTTTTCACTGCCGTGAATCCGCGCTATTGAATCGATCACAACAGCCACAATCGCTCTATGCACAGGGCGGGCACGGGCTGCCTCTCGCACCACCTCCTCGGCTCCCTCCAGGAGCTCTGGGCGACTCATCAGAGTTTTGTAAATCGTTCTGGTATTGGCGCGTGAGATGCGTATACCGCCATCTCTCATGATGCACAGAGTTCGAATCGCCGCTGTCAGGTCTCCACTGCCAATAAAAGCCTCTACAACGGCTTCGTAGTGGTGAGACTGAGCTCTTGTTCGCTGCGATATCAGATCCAGCGCCTCTGTCGCCAGCTGCGCGTCTGCGTTTCTAGCCGCTGTTCCTAGCACATTCTCTATGATGCCATCCGACGGCTGCACAAGGTGATTTTGCACAACTGAGAGCCAGCCAAACAAAGTCCCCGCATGGTGGTATGACTGGCTGCACATGTCCAATGCGTAGTATGTCAAATTGATAACCAGCGGGTCGGTGCTGCCGCCAATGTTCTTGCGCCTATACAGAAGCTGTATCATTTCATCTAGAAATCTCAGCTTCCCAAATACCAGAATGAATATGTCGTAGACCCAGGGCTCGATCCTGGCCCCTTGCTCAATCAGCTCCGTTAGCCTTGCATATGCCAGCTCGTATTGCTCATCTCTGAGCATTCCCACTATAACCGTCTGCTTCACCGGCGTATCAATCGTAAACCAGTACTCCTGCATAATACTTAGGATCTCTTGGCGCAGTATATAATCCGGATGATTCATCAGCGCTCTCAGGGCGCCGTTGCATAATTCCGCCGTTGGCTTCATCCCCTGCTCACGCATGTCGTCAAGCAGTCGGCGAGCACCATCAACGGAGCCTCGAGGATGAGCCATGGCGTCCATTAGGCACTCGTAAAGAAAAGGCGTAATTGGCTGATCCTCGACCTGCAGTAGATTCTGGACTAGCTGCACTATTCTTTGATGCTGGTCGATTTCTGGACCGCTGGGCGACGTCCGATCCCTTGTCTCTCGAAGCGAACTCAGGGCCGCAAAAACTTCTTCAACCGTACTTGCTTTTAGCGCCTCCTCTGACGGCGCCGTGAGGGCAAGAAGCCTGTCCTTCCAGGATCGTAGCTTAGGACTTGTGAAGCGACCGTCTTCTCCCGGCTGGACGCTACCTGCCTGGGAGCCTATTCGAGAAGAACCATTCTCTGTCGGTTCGTCTATTGATTGAAAGCCAGCAGTTGTCTCATAGCACCGCACGTGAATTGGCCCTGATCTGGCGGCACATGGCCGCGATACTGCTGGTCGTGTGCGAGGCAAGCTTTGTCGAATCGCTGTGCGCAGGGCCAATTGGTCAAAAGACGGGCACAGACAGCGCCATAGCCCGTCACTGAGCAATTTGCGCTGCATAGTTGACCTGCTTCAAATTGAACCAAAAGAAATTAACAAATCCTCCCTCTCCTGTCCGTCCTAGTAGCCTTGTGTGTGAGATCAAAAGTTGAGATTGAGATCTTAAAAGCGATATTTTGGCGCGGAAACCTTCCGGTACGCAACCAAGTACCTTGTCGGCGCAGACAGCCCGGCGCAGTACTTTGCTAGCCGGGGTCATGCACATGGCGGGGTTTCTTCTAGCAGCTTTCTGACTGCACCTCGATCTCCAATTCGCAACCTCAGCCAAAAAGACACTAAGCCAAGCTTGCTTTATCCCCTTCCTCAACGCGACAGCAACCCTTTCAACGTCAGCAAACCAATAAAAGTTTGTTTAGCTGCGCCTATTACAGGCGCAATCACCCGCCATGGTATGCTCGATCTCTTCCCCTTCGACCAGCCGAAACTAACCACCGATGCGCGCACCATGACAGCTTCCCCTCGGATTGCTCAATGCCGCTCAGGGCCACCCCATGCTGGTCGAGCTGAAGAACGGAGAGACCCTCAACGGACACCTGGTCATGTGCGATACGTGGATGAACCTCACCCTCAAAGAAGTCGTGCAGACAAGCCCTGTACGCTCACCAATGACCCTCCCTCTACGAATAAATGAAGCATCTTCTCCTAACGAATAGTATAACAGGAAGGAGATAAATTCATGCGGCTCCCAGAAGTCTACGTCAAGGGAAATAACGTACGCCAATACTCTCCCACCCCATTTACTCGGAAATACACTCAGCAACTTCAACTAACACCTCTTGTATCACAGATCAAGTACCTCCGTGTCCCCGACGAGATCATCGACCAAGTCACCGAGCAGCAAAAGAACCAGCAAGGCGGCGGCTTCCGTGGCGGTCGCGGCGGCCACCAGTCAAGAGGCGATCACGGCGGCCACGGCGGCCGGGGAGGCGGCGATAGAGGGCGAGGCCGTGGAGGCAGAGGTCGCGGCAGGGGACGTGGGCAGTAAGAAGGGGAAGAAAGAGCAAGGCTGATGAATGAGAAACAAAATAACTACGATGATATGCATAGAATATTGAAGGAGGAAGGGGTTCCAAGGGAATAGTACAGTCGTGACGATTGTATTATGAACGGGCGTCACCTGGGCAAGATAAGAAAGAAAAGGGATGAGCTCTTCAAATAATGGAGGAGGCCGCGACTGCAACGAAAGAGATCTTCCCAAGATAAAGAAACCTATCTTGTGCGGCTACCGTACAGCTACGGAAATCATTCGATACCCACTGGGAAATTTTTCTTTGGCTTTGGATATCATAGCTCTGGTGGCCGCTATCAGCCTTGGAGTTATTAGACACACTTGGCGTCTTCTGCCTGCCGCTGGCATGTTTCATCACGGTATGCATGAGCGTTTATAGGACATACGCGAAATTAAATTAGCAAAGAAAAAAACTTGATTGGCCTTCAATTAGGGCCATCTAACTAAAACATCCTTATGATAATCGTCCGTTAAAAAGTCTAGTAAATTTGTTCTTCTCGTCATAGGTCATCAGTCCCATGATACACATAAAATCCCAAGTCATTAAGCCTCCTACTTTACAACAACGCCGCTCTCATTTTAAACTTATTCACACCCCATTGTAACATGATATGTAACCCAACGCACACATGTGTCTCTTAAAAGTGAGCAACAGCAACGGCAACAGCCTGCTTATCAGCATGCGAGATGGAGACGGAAACCTCCTTCACGCCAGCCTGTTTAGCAGCAGCAGCCGCATCGCCATGAAGCTATTCAAACATGTTAGCAATCTCTCTTCGAATACGTGTTGGGCAGTATCAACTTACAGTAACAGTAGGGGCGCCAGAGTCATCCTTGAGGATCTCAATATCCTTCAGGGCAGCGCCGGCTCCCTTGCTGGCGACACCAAGAGACTTAAAGACTGCCTCCTTGGCGCTCCATCGGCCAGCGAATGAGCTCTGGGGGCTAGCAGAGCTCTTGCAGTAAGCAATCTCCTGGCTAGTGAAGTTGCGCTCGATAAAAGTGTCATTCTCAATGTTGATGGCAGAGATATCCTCAACATCTACGCCAACGTTGCTGCTCTTGCTTGTCACCTTGTGGGCGAGCGCCTCAATGATCTGCTGTGTCTCCTTGACAGTGACAGCAGGGACAATCTTTTCGGACGCCTTCATGAAGTTATCGGCATACTTGAGCTCCTTGGTCTTCTTGTCTTCGGTGACACGAGCATCAGGGTTCATCAGAACCTCGCTGAGCTGCTCATCGGTGTAAGGAGCGTGAGCCTTGGGGACGAACAGAGTGTTGCTGATCATGCCGTTGTGGAAGAATCGGTAAGCCTTCTTCTGTCGGGCCTCAACCTTGGCACAGTACTCCTGGTATGTCTTTTCGTCGAGAACGGCAAACAGGTATCTGGGGTGGACACCGACTGCCTGGGCTCCCTTCTGTCCGAAACCGAACGAGGTGAGAGAGAAAGCCTTGACTCCATCAGTCTGGATGCTACGGCTGGGGTAAACAATTAGATCGTAGTCCTCCATGATGGGGTCAATGTTGTCGGCATTCCTGTTACCAGGAACCAGACCAGTGTTCAGGATTTGCAGACCACCGTTCAACATCCAAGCACCGGCAGCACCCTTGGGATGACCTGTCAGGAACTTCTGGAAGACACCCAGGACGGCGTTACCCTTGCTTCGGCCAAGGTGACGCAGCTGCTGGCAAACGGCAGAGGACTCGTTCTTGTCGTTGGCACCGGTGGATGTACCGTGGAAAGAGGCAACCTTCAGGTCGTCAATGGTAAGACCCCATGTTGCAAGAGCACCACGGAGGGGAGCAATGGAGGGATCGCTCTTCCAGAAATTGTTGCCCATGCTTCGGAGGAGCTCCTTTTCTTGTCTCGCAGCCTCCCTCTGGATGTGTGCAACGCGATCCTGAGCATACTCCTTCTCGTCAAAGACACCGCCCTGAGACTTCATAGCATCGATTTCATCGTGCAAGAACTCCAGCTCAGATTCTTCCCATTGCTTAATCGTCTTCTTGCGGCGCTCAATCTGTCGGCGGCGGTAGTTGATGTCAAGCAGTGGCGAAGGGAACTTGCCAGCGTGCTCACGCGCAGACGTGAGAACACCCTTGCCAGGAGCAGGGACGGAACGTCCAATCTTGTCAGAGGCAGTGGTGGTGTAAGCAAGGATACCGTGAATAGGGACTCCCATATCCAGGGCAAGCTTGGCTGTCATGATGACCTGGACACCACATCCCTGAGACTCCATAAAGCCGTTTCGGGTAGTGGTCGTAGGACGTGACATTTCGCCAGGAGTACGGCCATGAGCAAACTCATCCACAGAGTTGCTGGTGGCCTTCATGTTGGCGAACTCGTAAGAGCCTTCCTCACCAAAGTCGTCGAGACCACCGACAAGACAGATGCGAGCCTTGCCTTCCAAAATGGTCTCCACACCTATGTCGACAGACTCAATAGCGGTGGCACAAGCTCCGACAGGGGTCTTAATAGGTCCAGACGAAGAAAGCAGCAACATGTTCACCCAAGCAGGCATAGTGTTGATGAAGGACTCCTGCAAGATATCGTTCTGAAGAGGCTTGTCTTGGAATCTGGCCTTGTGCATGCCACGCAGGGCCGTAGCACCACCCATACCAGAGCCGACAATGTTACCAACTTCAGAGACGTGGACATACTTGTAAAACTCGTATGGGTCGGTAATACCAGAGGACAGGAGAGCCTCAGCGGTCGACACGAGAAGGAACAAGGTGACAGGGTCCACTTGGCTGACAATGTCGTCGGGGATACCATATCGCTTGGGGTCCCAGCCAGTTGGGATCTGGCCAGCGACGAGTCTGTCGAAGCGCAGAGCCTTGGGGATCCAGAGCGAGGCGCCCTTCTTGACTCGGACAGTGAACTCTCCAGACTCGGGGATCTCGAAAATCTCCACCTTGTCACCGTGTTCTCGTCGGAACTCTTCGGCAGTCTCCTTGGAGGCCTCGAATGGCTCAAGGTCCTCTTCAATGACAACCTCGTGAAGCAGCTGCTTCTTGTTGGGGTCATATCCATCAAACAGCTCAGGCTCAATCAGACGGATACCGGCGTGGTCCAGAATGAACTTCTCGTACTTTTGCTTGACGTCCTTGTCGTCGACGGGCTCACCAGTCTTAGCGTCAACCCAGCCAGCGTAAGGCTTGCCCTTGAGAGGACCATTGTGGTTCTTGATGAGACCCATAATCCAGGCCATTTCAATGCAGCCTTCGAGAGAGAATTCGCCATGAGCCTCCATCTCCCATCGGGTTCGAGAGTTACCCCAAGGACCGACTTCTGCGAAACCGGTGACAACGACTACCTTCTCCAGGTCGACCATGCCCTTGAGCTGGTCATTAAGAGGGGCGACCTCGGTCTTCCAGTCGGGAAGATGAGGGAAGTCAAACTTGATGTTGGCACGAGGCTCGATGGTCTTCTTCTTGTAAAGAACCTCAGAGTCGGCTCCGTTGACAATAGTGTTCTCGATAGCGCTCTCCTTAGAAACGATTCTACGGATCTCACTGGTTTCCATGATATCCTTGCGAAGCTTGGTCATGGCCTCGTTCAGGTTGGGGATGAATTGCAAACCACCGTTCAAGTCGGCAAAGACAGGCTCTGACTGGCAGAGGTCGACAATGGTAGCGGACATCAGACCCAGGAGGTTGAAAGCCATCTCTTGCTGAGAGAAAGTTCGGACACCAAACGCCTCAACACCCTCGGCAACAATGTTGTTGCCAGACATGAGACCAGTACCGCGAGTCCATCCAATAACAGCACCGCAAATTGTGAGGTAGTGGCCCCAGTCTTCGGAGTGCCATCGGTTGAAGAGAGTCTCAAGAGCCAGCTTAGATTCGGAGTAGAGACCGTCGTTGCCAAAGGTACCGTGGTTGGGAGAAAGGGGAAGGACAACTTGAGCGGGACGAGTTTCGAAGCCTCGCTCAGCCTTCTGAGCCTTGACGTAACCAAGCATGCGGATCAAGTTGGTCAGCATAATACGGTGGGCCAGCTCAGACTTGGAGTCGATGCTATCAATCTGTCGGCCATTCTCAGGGATGGCAGCGAAAGGAACGATGTAGTCGAGATCCCAGCCAAGACCAGTCTTAGCGTCGTAGATGTAATTGACGAGGGCTTCCACGTCCTGCTTGCTTCCCTGGTTGAAGGGGACAACAACGATTTGAGATCCGCGAGAGCCAAAACGGGTGTACATGGACTGATAGTACTCAGTGACCTCTCGGGAGAATCGACTGGTAGTGACCACAACCTTGGCACCTCCGCTGACGAGGCCCTGCAGAACCTCGGCACCAATGGATCCGGCACCAGCACCAGTCATCAAAACATACTTGTCTTGGAACGTGACGCCGTCCTTGGCAGCCTGCTCGAGAGAGTTGAGGTAGACAGCAGTGAGCTTCTTGCTGTAGTCCCAGCCGTGAAGTGTCTTTCTCTTGAGATGGAGGAAGGGAATGGTCTCGACCCTGCCCTTGTTCAGGTTGGTGCCCTTCAGGGTCGGCTTTCGGCCCTTGCCGTTCTCCTTGAGAATCTGGCTCTCGTTCATGGCCAGGGAGCGCAAAACATCACCGTACAAGCTCTTGATTTCGAGCTGAGAGGTCTTGGACATCTTGTGTTGCTGCTTGATCAACTTGTAGATACGCTGCAGGTCGTTCTGAACCTTGGTGCGGTTGCCATACTCGGAGATCTTTCCGCCCTCGGCCATCTGCTGAACGTAGTGCTCGAGTTTTCTGCAGCTGGCGCGAGGAACTTCCTCATAGTTGAGGTTACCACGCGCATCCACGGTGGTGCGAGGACCTGTGGGAACGGCAACGTCCTTGTAGACAGGAGACAGCTCCAATACTTCCTTGCAGTTCTCAATGAGCTGCTGGCCAAGTTCCTTGGCGAGCTGGTAGGTTTCACCGCGCTCAGTGGGGCAGTTATCGATGTGGTACTGCATGAACTCGAGGAGCTTGGGGTTTGACTTGTTCATGAT